AGACAGTTTGTATGAAGATGTTCTAGTTTAGAACAGATAAAGCAGAGTCTCTTTTTCTTAATCTCTCTATTATACACTCTGTTTATGAGAGCTTATGAAGCTCTCTCTCTCTACTCAGCAGTCAGATATAAATCTCTCTGTATCTTATCATCTTTTTCTGATAAATCTGTTCTCTGTTATTCTGGCTCTTACAGAGCTGATTAATGATTTACTCTTCACAGGTCTGTGACTCTCACAGTGATCTGTAAGTAATGAATGAGAGTCATCAGTTTCTTCAGAGTCAAGAGCTTAGAGTCTTGCTTAATAAGCTTGTTCTACATGTCTTTATTCAGTCTCTTTATAAATATCATCATTCAGGTCTTATTTCAGGGCCCTGTTTTCACAGGTCTCAATTTATATCATAATTTCATGAAGCATTGTGAGTAGTCTTCATCAGATTCCTTATCTCTTTTTCTAATATTGATGATTGCAGTTCAGATGTTCTCTGTTCAGCTCACAGAGTTAATTAACTTATTCTCTAGATAGATCTTGAGAACAGATTAGTGAAATCTCTCATGATCATTCTCTAAATGATTCAGTCAGTTCTTGACTTCAGTGTAATAGAGCCTATTATTGCATAGATGACAGCTTCTTCATCTTTCATGTCACATAGCTGAGCTTGTAAGTCAATTTCAAATACTAACTTGTAAAAGCTTTTATAGATTATGATTTGATAGATGATCTTAAGTAATTGCAGCTTAAGAAAGTTTCTTTTTGATTTGTGAGTGTCTCTGAAGATCATGTCTAAAGACTCAGTTTGAGAGTGTTTGCAGACAGTAAGCATTTCTTGTAGAAAAATAGCTTAATCTCATAGAAGATGCTCAAGAATGTTCTTCACTGAGATTAATTTATTCATGAATTCAGAGAGTTTCTCTGTCTGAGATGTAGAGAATGATGTTCTGTGAGTGATTGATGAGTTCTCTGAGACTTCTTTTATAAAGATTATTCAGAGTTCAGATGACTGCTTCTGAGTGTCTGCAGTAGAGTTCACAGAGGTGAGAGCATGCAAGTTTCTACTTCTTTCAGTTATAACAGGCAGTTGCTGACTGACTGAGCTTGAAATGTAAGAATAAGTGCTTGCAGGTGATTATTTGAGTGTTTACAGCTTGATGTGATATATACTGTTAACTACTAGAAGTATTCATGATAGAAAGATAAAATATAGAGATCAAATATATAATAGCATTCAAGCTGAGTTATGAATAGTATTCACAAACTCCAGTCTATATAGTTGTGTGTAGCCAAGGGCCGCTAGCCCTATTGATTACATGAGAGATAGAAATAGAGGTAAAGGATCCGCGAGGAGCGGGATTTCTTACAAGTCATCTCCTATTAAAGCAATGGAAATTGAAGCTTCAATTCCACCTCCTGCTATTCGATTTGAAAAGGCCTGTATGAACTATGCTCTGAGAGTCATGAAGATGAGCTTAAATCATATAATCAGAGAAAGAGTCTCTTCTTCATTTCCATCAGTTAACTCAGGAAATGAACTGGATTGAAATAGATTTCTTGATTGAAATGAGAATAATACTTTAAAGAAAATGCCCTCTCAACTGTATAGACTATGTTCACTTATTAAGAATCAATTTTCTTCATTAAATGTTGAGAAAATTGATCATGAGAAGATATCTCTCTGGAGAGAAAAGCTGGAATCTCTCATAGACTTATAAATAAGTGAACTATCTAAAGAGAGAGAATATGAACAGCATTTGAAGAAGATCTCTACAATTAATATAAAAGACTCTATTCTGATCTACTCAGATGGCTCAAAAAATGAGAATTTGAATAGATTAGGCGCAGGCATTGCTTATACTGAAGATAATATTAATTTTATCTCAGATTTCTGGAATTTAGGCTGTGAATCTGAAGTCTTTGATGCTGAACTATTTGCAATAGTGAAAGCTTTCAAACTCATTGAAATAAAATCTCATAAAAGAGAAAATGATTTGAAAGAGGCATGGATATTCTCTGATAGTCAAGCTACTTTAAAAAGACTTAGAAATAGTCAGATTTATAATAGTCAAATGAATCTTGAACTGATTTTAAACTCTGTTTTGAAAATTCAAAAGAGAAGAACATCTAAACTGATAATTTATCTGCATTGAGTTCCTGCTCATATGAATATTCATGACAATGAATTGACTGATTCAGCTGTAAAAAAGAGTTCAGAATTAAGTAGATCTATTCAAAAAACAGTGTTCTGATCTTTTATAAAGAGAAAGATAAAAGAATCTTATTTAAATAAGTGAAATGAAAGCTGACAGAAATAAAAGAAGAGCATACATTATTCAAGATTTGAGATAAAATCAAAGTGAAAATCTTGTTCAATTAAATGTAAAAAGAAAATATTCTCATCTATAATTCAGCTGAAACTAGAACATGATTATTTCAAATCTTATATACAAAGATTTGATGATAGATTTGATTCAACAGAGTGCTCATTCTGCAATGTGAATGAAAATCCTGAGCATATTGTAATGCATTGTGCATTATATAATAGTCTCAGAGTCAGATTAAAGAAGAAGTATGATTTAAATCAATTAAATATGAGGTTTCTATTCTCAACTGAGACAGGAACTAAATACTTAATAGACTTTCTATCAGAAACTAGAGCAGCTATAAGAAAATGGCTGAATTCAGAAGTATCTGAATATGAAGAGGTGGAAATTGACTAGATATAGTCTGTTAAAACAGCTATACATCATCTTTTAATAATTTTGTTTTGTTATAGTCTCTCTTTACTGTACTTGTTTCCTTCTGTTCTTTTCTCTATCTATTTAATGTGTCTATCTTTAAGACTATGTTCTCTTTTCTTTTGTCATAATATTTTCAAATGGTTTCAAACTATCAGAAGGTGTTGAAATACTGCAATTTGTAAACAGTTTTTGTATTCTGAGCTGGAATTTTCTGATTTTGCATATTTGAAATTGATAAATGTATAATAGTTGACTCTATAGATATAGGAAAAACCCTGAGAACTAAAGATTCTCAGGTAGATGTCATAGTCTCTGACTGCATACATCTATAATTGAAGAATAATAATAATAATAATAATAATGAAATACTACTGAGGTATCACTCTGGCTATTCTTACTCATGAAATGAGAGAAGAGTATTCACTCATTATCTATATAGAATAGCTAGATGCTGGCTTCTTATCAAAGAAGTCAGTGATTCATTTTTTCTTCTACTGAAATATATATAAGAGTTACTATGTGTCTCATACAATCTTCTTAGTATACTAAGTATCATATCTGTGATATTCTTGCAATAACTCTGTAGTCTACAAGCTCACTATTTAAGCAAGATAGTCAAGCTCACTTATACAGCTTCTCAAACAACTACTTTTATGTAACACTGCTGACTAGTCACTGCTTCAGTTCCGCCACATTACATATATTAATATATAACTCTTTATTAAGTCAGATTTTTCACCTGATCTCAGATTTATCATAAGTTCAATTAATTAATAAATTATCTAGACATGCTTGTAATAACATATTAAGATGTTAATTTAGCACATTGTTACAGTTATTCATTAGCTTGTAAAAGAGCTTTATAACCTCTTGAAGAATAATATTATTATGTTATATATATGTAATCTATCTATACAAGTTACACTAAATGAATAGGTTGAGGTGGCACGTGACTAGAGTAGATATAGTAATTATTAACAGATTCAAACTCATGTGATATTCTGAGATATAAGAGAGATTGAACATGATTGATTATTATTACTATCTAACTAGTAGCTAGTAAAAGCTAAATATATGTGTGTAAGTTATATGAGTTAGAGCTTGTATAGTAGCTTCAACACTCTTTCATACTACACAGACCAGTTAACTTATGCAGTTAAAAGTGCTTAAATTATTCAAATCTATAATAATAATTAATTACACAAAGTAGAGTCTAGTTTTCTCATAAGAACTAGCTTCATACATGCAAATACACTTAAATATGTAAGAAAAAACACTTAAATTCATTCTTTCTATATCTGTATTACTTTCTCAGTCATCTGAACACTACAGAGTCTCATTTCTCATATTTTTATCATTTTATTATTATTGTTATTATAATTATTATATAGACATACTCAGTGACCTTATTATTATAAGTTATTATAATTATTATATAGACATACTTAGTAATCTGATTATTATAAGTTATTATAATTATTATATAGACACACTCAGTAATCTGATTATTATAAGTTATTATAATTATCAGTATCTTTATTATTTTAATATTAATATTAATAGTTATAATTATAATTATATTTATAATATTATTAATATTATAAGTTATAATTATATTTATAATATCATTAATATTATGAGATTATAATTTTAATTATAATTATAGTCTTGTAAAATCTGATCTCTGAATTCATAGTATTTTTAATATTAATATTGTTATTAATATTATTATTAAGTATTATTATCAGAATTTTTAATATTCTTATCATTTATTTAACTGAGTAATATACTGTCTCAGAATAATGATTTCATTGCAGTCTGTTATATCTTTATATTCTGAAGAATTATCTTGAGCTTGATTATTCTTATTATTTTTATATAATTATTAATATTGAAAAGAATTCAGCTATCTGATTCTCTGAGATCTCTTTACAGTTGATTAATCTTGTATTGACAGGCATTTGATATGAGATATTTGAATAAAAGAAGCAGCTATTTGAAAAGCTTATTGTATGATTATTCCATGATTATAACACTTTGTAGAAGTACAAGAACTTCATAACCTGTGAGAGAGATTGAACATGATTGGTTGTTGTTGTTATTTAACTAGTAGCTAGTGAAAGCTAAATATATGTGTGTGGGTCACGTGGGTTAGGGCTTGTGTAGTAGCTCCAACATGGGAATATGGATATTCCCAGAATATCACGTGAGTTTGTCCCGATGACTCATCTATTATTCGCCAACTTTTTTTTTTTTTTTTCTACGGTGATATCTGTATTGACGGAGGGGTAGATAGAACCAACCCAGTATAATAACAACGGTGCCGGAGCTGGATGCAATTAGCCAACTTTCATAGCTTTAAAATAGCGGGATCTGATTAAATTACTAATTAGCACAAACATGTCCTTCACAATCAAAGTTCCCTGCTCATCTGCAAACATCGGCCCAGGGTTCGATGTGATCGGTAAGTCCGCCTGGCGCAAGATACAATTCCCGGTTGTTTGCGACGACGAGGTCTGCCTGCTCTCCCCTCAACCCCTTTTTCTAGAATTGGGAACTGACAAAGGCAAATGCAAATAGGTTTAGCGCTGTCTATCCATCTCGAGCTCCACGTCACCACTACAAACATAAGCTCCTCCAAAATCCCACTCAATTGTGCAATCACATATGAGGGTGAAAATGCAGAGGAGGTTAGCTTAGATCCGGAAGTCAATCTCATTACACGCGTTGCTCTCTACGTTCTTCGGTGTCACGATCAGCGTGCTTTCCCCGTTGAAACCCATGTTCATATCAAAAATCCCATCCCACTTGGAAGAGGCCTGGGGTCGAGCGGGGCGGCTGTTACTGCGGGCGTTATGCTAGGGAATGAAATAGGAGGTTTAAAAATGAACAAAGCTCGGATGCTAGATTATTGCTTGATGATAGGTACATGATTCCCCTCATCGTATTGCCGAGCCTCGTAGGTCCCCTTGCTAAGCGTGTGTGTGTATATACAGAGCGCCATCCCGACAATGTTGCTGCAGCCCTCTACGGGGGCTTCGTGGGCACCTATCTGAACGAGCTCAAACCAGAAGATCTAGCTTGGAAAGAGATCCCATTAAGTGAAGTTCTCCCAGCACCTGCTGGCGGCATTGACACTGGAGTGAAACCGCCGGAGCCACCCATCGGCATTGGCCATTACAAAAAGTTCGCCTGGTCACCACAAATCAAAGCCATCACGATAATACCTAGCTTCGAGCTTCCCACAGCGAAAGCTCGTGAAGTTCTACCAGAAGTGTACTCAAGAGCAGACGTCGTATGTGACTATCAACTATCCCATTTCTCTTCATCACAGCCCATTGCAAACTAGACATATACCCCTAACGACGCCTTTCATTTCTCTCATTTTAGATATATAACCTCCAACGCGCCACCCTCCTCCCCTCAGTCCTTAGCCAGTCCCCATTAGATCCAGATATGATCTATCTCGCAATGCAAGACAAAGTTCACCAGCCGTACCGAAAACACCTCGTACCCGGTCTCACCGAAATCCTCAGCTCCATGACCCCAGCCACCCAGCCCGGTTTATTAGGGATATGCCTTTCCGGCGCAGGACCCACAATACTAGCCCTTGCCACGACTAATTTCACCCAGATAGCAGATCGCATCGTTTCACAGTTTAAACAGCATGGCATTGAATGCCGGTGGGAGGTGCTGGAACCAGCTGAGGACGGGGCTGTGGTGGAAAGGAAGAAGGACGTATAGACAGACGGAGAGGGTGATCAGGGATATATAACTATCTTTTCTTTGGAGTTTTGTGAGATAGGGCTGCGGAATATAGATTTTTATACGCGATATAATGTTATGTCTTCGCTTATGTCTTCGCGCTATGTCGTCCGAATACCGTAGCGCTACTTGAATTCGGATACGAAAGGTATATTTTCTAATTAGATCGCATTATTTTGCTAAGATAGGATTCCTCGTTTCCTGTTGCTTATGACCGCAATCGTTCTTTCTTTATAGTTCGTATATTGTAGAAAGCCTACAGTATCGATAGGTATGAATTACATAGAACAAGTAATGGCCTATTCGCGTGACTAAAAAAATACTTGGGGAGTTTGCGATTCTCATCACATATATGTATGTTTTTTATGAGCCCATCCCGAGCGACAATCAAAGGCACCAGATCCTGGTTTTAACCTCAACAGTGAAATTCCCCGTCTCGGATTGTCACCAAGCACAACTAATCCACCTCCCACCACCCAAAAAAGTACAAGACAAGAGAAGAAGGGCAGTATAGATGAGAATCACTACGCGGAAAACCTGCTTCCAGCCCTACAATCTTAAAACATGCCCTCCATATCCAAATCCAAATATTCAGGATTTCCCACACCCATATCCGCTCCATTCAGCACATCATCAATACTTGCATCTAGGCCGCTACCCATACCCATACCAATCTCGCCTATTCCACTCATTCCCATCCCCTGTCCATTTCCAGCCCCATCACCCCCAGCAGCTGCTGCCACTGCCGCATCAAGCATGTCATTGAGATCCCCCGTATCGTCCGCTCCCTGATTCTGTTGGCCGGATTGCTCACCTCCTTGATCATGCCTTTGGCCGCTCATTCCCATTCCCTCCCGTTCCAGATTGATACCTTGCATTATGTTACCAACATCTATGTTCGAAACCTCCTGCGGCATCTGCGGGACGGCAGTAAGCGCATCGACTCGCCGGCTTAAACGCACGATTAGCTCTGCGCGGAGTGTATCACTATCGATTAACTTGGGAATAGATTCGCGCTCAAGGTTCAGCCCGTCGCGGAGCGTGAGAATCGGACAGCGGGGTATGGCGTCTTTAGACGGATCAACAGGATGGAATGCCGCGCGCTCTACGGCGAAGGATTCTGCAAGGGGGGCACATATGAGCGTGGCGGCTATGTCCAGGGCGAGATCTCCGCTCCCGGTTTCCGCTTGCAATTTGAGCTCGTCGATTATGCCCCTCAGCACGCGAACCGCACCTACAAGTCTTATTCCGGCGACAATCTGACGGTGTGTGTAGCTAGGAGGGGTCATGCTTATTTCAGGGCTTGTGCTCCAAAAGACAAAGGACGAGAAAGTGTTGCGAATGCTGGCAACAATCCCTCCACCTGCTGGATTTGAAGCCCAGCCTTCTACTTCGCCGTAACGCGCTGTGCTGCGCCGCTGGAAGGAATGGTACGGTTCTAAAGCCTCAAGAATGGGCTTGATGTCGTTTCTGGAAAGGTGCCTGGTGCGCACACCTTTCAGCTGGTCACCGAGCTGTTTTGCAGTTATTAATAACACCGTGCGGTGAATTTCCTGGGCTTCGCCAGATATGGAGCTGGGTTTAACGAGGGCAAGTAAAAGTTTTAACGATGTAGTCAAATCACTTTCCGACTCCCAGATATGATGGCCGAGCCACGTTAGCGCCATCACTAAAGATGGTAAGAGAAAAGGCTCTAAGAGATCTATGAAAATAAGCTTAAGTCTTGTATGGTTTTCATTCGGGATCAACGTACATTCAAACCCGCCTTTTAAGGTCTCAAATTCCAACTTTCCAGTTTCGCACGCAGCCAAACTTTGACTGAAAAGTGTTGAGACGAGGAAGTAGAATTCCTGAGGGCTGCATGATGACATTGATTCATCGCTGATCCCTTCCGCAATGAATAGGGCGGTGATCCATGCTCCAAGATTATTCTTTTGCTTTTCATCCAAATCCTCGAGTCTCTGGCTGGAGCAACCATGTTGCAGGAGTCGCAAAATAAACGAGTCTGGATTAGAAATCCCCAAGTCATAATGAGATAATCCGTATTTGTACTTGAAGGCGAGAACTAGTAGTAATATGCTGCCGAATTCGTCATAAACCGGCTGGCTTTCACCTGTATATAACGTCAGCATTTTTCATGCCTCATACATATCACGTTTCTGCGTACCTTGTTCTTCGCCCCATTTCCAAGCGTCAAGCAAAGCACACAGCGGTCGCAAGATAGTTGATGGGCTAATGAAAAGAAGCATGACGTCCAAGGAAAGAGGCCTCCGTGACAGAGAATTGCAGATATTCTTCAATGTCATTGTTTCCTTCCTTGAGCATAAGTTATGCATCACCTAGCAATATAGTTAATGGAGGAATGTCAAGGTAGCAACCAATAAAATGAAGGACATACTTCTGTGATGGCCGCCGCGATGGTACCGGCGTTGCCTTCCATCGACTCGAGCTCATTTATGAGTTGTTCCGCACGCTCGGGATTGTTATTAATTTGGGAAACTAGATCTTCTCTTCGAAGCTGTCCTCCAACAGGCAAGGTCTGCATTGGGTTTTCCCCTAGAAGTCGTTCAATGCTTGCTTCCGGGATCAATTTATGCAAAGCACAGGCAAACAAAAATTCCTGCCGGACATCTGACAGGATAGAATTTCCTTGCATTGCGAACATTTCAGAAAACGAAGGAAAGGCATTGGGGTCAATGCGACTGAGGGCGCGGGTGATGCAAAGCTCCATCGGTATGGGGTCAATAGCAGATGCACACATTTCAGCAAAAAATGGCGGCAGCTTGTTGACTAAGAAAGACCGGAAGATAAACATGGTGCGATTAGGCTCGTTGCGGTACATCCCATTCGATAACACGTCAAAGGCTGCAGTAATAAGATCTTCGATTAGTGTCATGCGATCGCCCTAGAAAAATATTATGAGTTTTCAAGAGTAATTTAGTAGTATGGACTTCAAAAACTCACTCCATATCGATTATTTAAGTAGTTAACAACCATACTATCATCCACCAGCGGTCTCCCAAAAAGCTTTAAGATGATACTATTAGTATGTAGACTACTGTAACAGTTGAGAGGGCAACAGGCATACCAAGGCATTAACATATATATATGGTCCTGCTCTGGAATTGATGATAGAGCCATCAAGGACATTAGACTCAAATTCTAGAGCTGAAATATTGACATTTTCCATCATTGCATCTTCAAGGGATTTCTCGCCGTCGTGGCCATACAAATTGAAATCTTTTCGCAAAGTTTCAAGCCTGTCACGTAAAGGAATTGATACACCACCACATAGCGGTATATATTCAGAGAGGGATTGGCCTAGTTTATTTCTCCAACCTGATCGATAACAGGCAATCAGTATTTAAGTACAATGTAAACGAGGGTCTACTGTGAGAAGAATAGAAAGAGTACCTTTTGGCCCTGAGGCAGAGAGAGCATTTACGGCTTTTTCAGTGCTCATAAGAGCAGCAAATAAAATTCCGAGAGATTCAAACACAGCCAGGGTGTCCGGAGAGTTCGTCAACGAGGCGGCGGGGTCGCCTACCGGTTCGCGACTTGAGTTCCATGAAAGAAGAGCTAAAATCCATTTTGCGAGCGCAGAAAATGTGTTTGCGGCGTCAGATGTCGTTCTGGGGGCGTGTCCCGAAGTCGCCGCTATCGTAGCATTATGGATAATGCAGTAGTCGGTCATCAGTGTACTGACAGGTGCTTTCGTGGTTGATCCATTCTGTGCAGCCACTTGCTTCTGGGAAACTGTCGACTGCGCAAGAAGTGACTCTAGTATATCCTCAAGTTTAATACTCCCAAGCCTATGTAGGGTGTCCACATAAAGCGGTATTAAGGGGTCCCAGGGCACATTTGTGACACATCTTAAGGCCAAAATAATGTCTATCAGCCTTCTCGCCGGGATGGAATAGCGATTCAGCATAAGCTTCGCAAAAGCCCTAAATTCAGAAGCATCGGTCCTCTGAGAAAGGCATCGACGGAGCAATGTTTTCCATTGCGCCGAAGAGCTCCCAACAATCTTTATCTCCTCCATCACCCTTATACCTTAGCTGATGGGCTCTTTCAACAAAAGGTTGGTTTACATTCCCACCGTAGAAACACACACATTGGCAACATGAAAGATGAAAAGCTCATTAAAGGCAGCTCATTTAGGGACATCAGACTAAAGTGCCGCGCGGAAGTCGCGGTTTCATGAATGGTGAATAACCCGGTTTCTGAATTGTTTGATGTTTGCACTGTTTGCAAATCGCGAGACCTATCGTCATTTTTTTACCCCTTTTCCTTTGCAACAACCTAGCACATTTTCCACCATTAGCTCACTTCGCAACTGCTCTTGTGACTGAAGTGGCGGCTAAATGAATCATGGGCGATTGCGAGGGCTACAATTAATATCGGTCTGTGAACCGGCTTATTTAAGTGACATGTTGCCATAATTTCATTGGCCGCCGTCGCGCATCTCTAGTCTGGGAATATCCAACCGCCTTGAAAGGGCCTGGCATGCCGCCTCTTCTTCGCAGGTACCATCTCTTTAATGGCTTCGTTTCTCCATCTATTTTCAATATGATTTATCTGTGATGATATCCGGATGGTTTAGGTCACTCGACCCCACCCAGCCCATCGCTATGATCACCATATTAGCATCCCCTATGACAAACCCACATTTCCAACCCCTTGATGCGGAAGCCGTAAGCCGGAATCGACTCTGGATGATGCTTTGTCACTCGCACTGCTGCTGCCGTGGGCGTCGACAGGGTTTTTTTATGAGGGTGCGGCCTCTGCAGCGGCATCATGTTTCCATATTTTTAGAGTCCTCGAATTGCGCGTTACTACTTCCCCCCAGAGGGAATTTCCATTGCGGTTGCCACATGCGCCCCTTCGTGTGTGGAAGTTATGCTCAGGAGGCATACTACTCTGTATCTAGCTCGTGCCACTATTTCGTTATTCTCGAAAGCATGATTGACCTCAGGTCAGATGCTACGCTATACAAACCACAAGCATGGCCAGAGCTCATGGGCATCCAGCAACATAGACCGTCTGGTCAGCTGAGTGAACAACAAAAACCGCCAGCTTACTGCTGGCAGAAGGAGTCATGGTATTGCCAATGACTCGGGCCACATTCCAAGGACATGAGCCATGCATTCACGGGTAAATAGGCTTCGACAAGGGAATAAGAAGAAGGTAAAGGTCCCTTGTTTTGCTGTTAAATGATAACTAGCGAATGACTGATCTCTGAAAACACAGGTGAGAAAGAGATATGAACAACAGCAAGTGAAAACAAGAAACAAAAGTGAAAGACCAAAAGTATAACCATAGGTTCAACAACCACAAAACACTAACAACGGTTTCTCACAAAATCAACCCCTTGTTTATCTATCTCGAAAGCATCGAACAACAAGCCTAGTAACATCTGTCCCTTCCGGGTCTGTTCTTCGAGCGGAATTTGTTCTTGCAACACACGTAGAAGTTGTTACACCTATATCTCGAATCTTTGAGCCCGTAGCATCGGCGATTGCTCCTCATACTGCCGTTGACCTCGTTACAGCAAGCTGCACTGGCTGCGCCCCAGAATGCCTCCGCCCCGGGCTTGTAACACCATGATCCGCTTTCACCGGCGCGTGCCTCCACCTCCACGGACCTTTCGAACAGGGTTGATGATGCCGACTGTTGTACTTGACATTCCTCGGCCCATTTGCCTTGCGGGCAAAGCGGTTCATCAGAAGTCGAGATGCCCTGCTCTTCCCTCATCCCAAGGGATGCGGCATACACGATGGGGAGGGTGAAGAACAAGGTGAAGGCTCTCATTTTTGCTTGGTTCTACAAGAGGAATATTCTATGAGCATCAACTCCTATCCGAAAGGAATATTTCCCGAATTCTTACCTATGGATGAGTCTTTAAAAGGGGATGTATTTGAGGCTACCAAACACAGGGTTGTGTAGGTAGTTTCGAATTTCGGAGAGGAGGAGGAACAAGAAGATGTCTGATGTACCGTTGGAATTTGGATTATGTTGTGTCTGATGTACCGTTGGAATTTGGATTATGTTGTTGATTCTTTTGATGAGTTGAGACGAATTGGTCAAAAGAAGAGAGGAATGAGCTCTTTATATAGAGTTCTATGTCGCCAAAACCACTCTCACAGCTTCAGGACGTCCTTAAGCTCCTAATATCGCACTTGGGAATACTACGTTGCATTACAGTCGATCACTAACTGGCCCCTGAAATAACTCATCTGAGGTGGAAGCCTGCATTGCCGAGCCCTATTCTGTTACATTGGTATTTCACCTGCTAATCGGATTGGGAAAAAAGGCTAGCACCTCCTGTTTACAGAGAGAGGCAATACAGTGTCCTTCAACTACAAACTAACAACCATTCTCCTGGCGTTTGGGAGATCCTGCGCTCGATATCAATCTATATCAACCTTATATCAACAAACCACCCCCACTGCTACCAAGGTTCATGCGGCGGACAGGGAAAAGAGTATCCCTAAATAAGATTATTTGAAGCACCTCAATCTCTTGATTCTTATTCCCTACAGTGGGAGGATTAAGCTTGAATACCCCCCTGGCCGCCTAGATCGTACTAACCACATAACGTTAATATCTATATGGCTGCTTTTCATGATCATATTGTTAATATTTTGTATACAGAGGATCCTCTCAAAAGTTTTGATTAGCATTAAGAATTTAATACTGTTATCGTTCCATTCTCAAGCCCCTGAAATTTAGGCTAGCTTTAGTTAAGCTGTAGCTGGTTATTCAGACATCACAGCCATTAATCTCTCTTAGAACTCTGATTAAGAGAGAGAATGAGAATACTTCATGTCTGTAACAAAGTTACACCTTTAATTCTTAGTGCTAATCCAAGCTTTTGAGAGGATCCTCCGTACCTGTCATGGTGATGCAGAGCTACGGGTCCGGGCTCTTACCACCTAGAGCAAAAAGACCATAAGATGACTGGCTCCCCAGCCCCGGTACGCCAGCCTATAGAGACCCCCAGGTATAGAGTCCCCTCAGGTCTAGAGCTCTCTTTCAATGTGAGTGATGTGTGCTCATTATAACACTAGTATAAAGTATTCATTTAATCCAAATGTCACTTTAACCTATATAGGCTGCTGTACAAATGGGTTTGAGTTAGTGATATCTTGGCATCTTAGGGGTGCCAGGTGGGGGTTTCAAACTTAATGCCTAACACTATACAGAGTAGTATTCAGTCATGATGGCTAGCTTCCAAGCCTCGAAACTCGGACCACTTCAAAGTTGACCAAGAAGCTTTCATTTGGTTGTTGTCATTCAAAAAGAAAGAGCATAACAGACAGAACTGAACGCGCTGCGCCTGATTTGGTTCGGAAGCGAGCCATGAAGGACCCAAAGAATCCTCCCTGGGACCGAAACCTTCTTCCATGATTCCTCAAATCCACGCTAATCTCCCGTAGCGCATCTCGGATCCTTCCAGAGCGCTAAGTGGAGATCTGCCGAGTAGTGTTAACCTTAAAGTGCGGAAGCGTGCACAATAACGAACACTACCTACCTGCCTTACCAATCGGCGGATTCGGGGATTCCGCGAAAAGAACAACCTTTCTTTACCTGGTCCTCCAACCGATATTCCTTGATGATTCTTGCACCTTGACACGTGGATTCCTTTTCCTATTTTGCACTCCTCGTTCCCTCGATATGCGGGCAAGCTGCAAACACCAGCGGAACCTGAGACCGAAATGTGAGCTCAAAATGCGAATAATCGCTCTCTCTCCTCCGGTCTTGGAACCTCTCCAGTAGCTGAGGGGAATTGAAAGGAGCAGGAAGTACCCCCGCAGGACAAAAGACCGAGGAGGCGGGAAGGAGACGGATCATCAGGCCATGTTTCCTCTCCGCCTTTGGGCCTTGTGTTAACCCCCCCTACTTATGTCCAAAGGAAATGGAAATTTCTTTTTCCCACTGCCTGTCTGTGTTTCAAACAAGAACCCCCACTGCGTTTGCCTACAGGGTACTTCGACATTCCTCCCATGAACGGACTGGGAACAGAACGAACTGCCTCTCCGATTCTTTATCTTTCTTCCCCGTCCACGGCCCGAAGCGCCCCCACAAGAATAAAAATAAAAATAACCTCAGCAGGTTCTCATTTCTGCGTGGCCGAGCTGGGCGAGCTGTTGTTTTGAGCCGAGTTTTCTATGCCTTCGACCCCCCCCTTCGATATAGTTCCCCCGCACAAAGGAATTGGCTGCGGCTCTCTACTTCGGTGTTAGCCGGGTATATATTATTCTATTGAAAAAAAGATCAACTAAATTAAATCTGAGGAGAGAAAGTGGTAGTGGGTGAGCATGTTCTAGCTGTAACTTGCTTTCTTCAGATTGAAGGGTGAGTTTCATCTTGTTTTAATAGAATTCGTACTTACAAAAAATGCACTGCTATTGAAACGAATGGGTACATTCCAAGGCTAACTACCCACTGCCGAGGCGGCCAGCTCCTGACGGCTGGTAGTTATTTACGGCTTCTTGTTCAAAAAAAAATAATATAATATAATAAAAAGTAATAATAATAATAATAAATAAAATCTAGTGATCCTGTAGAGCGAATTAGGTATGAATTACGGACGAAGACAATTGGCTCACGATTCGACAGCCAGGGCTTCGGCGCAGTCACTTCGATCTTCAAAATACTTAAACCACCTACCCTACCTAAGGTGTACTTACTTCGATGCTGCACAAAACTTCACATAATTTATACCATACAACCCCCAACATTTCATAATACTATATAGTAATCATACAAGTAACATCATATGCACATATCACTCTTGGAACTTGGGTTACAGCGCAGCAATTAATCAGAAAAGATGCATCATAGTTACCACCTTTTCTTAGAGCCTACCTCACATGGCATCAATCAGATAAAAATGTCCTGTATATTTGGTTTACATGTCAAGCGTTTGCCACCCCTAACACCCTCTCTGTCTCTACGCTGCACACTTTATATCCACATCATCCCCTCCCTATCTTCATTTCATTTTTTGGGTTATCTGCAGGGAACATGGAGGGCTTCCTCGGATAATGTATAGGGGTATATGCCGGAATGCGCCAGGTCAACAGTGCATCCAGCCATTTGAGACGAATGGAAAAACTTTCTTGAAAACGTGATGGACAGAATAACTCAAGCGTAGTGGGTGTTTCCCCATCCCTGTTCTTGGCATTTTATATGTTGTAGTAAAAATATGTCAAATATTAGGATAGCTTCATCATTGATATACATCTCAAACAGGAGGGGGATAAAACTCCTCTAAAAGGGGTATCCAAAGTGTGACGAACAAAGTGAAGCGCCAGTAAACGCCCATGGAAGAAACCAAAGAGCGTTAGATGGAGGAAATAGGAAACATAAAAATGTATTTGACAAATGAAAAGCATTATTGGGACCTCGCACTTCCCACGCTTCTCTCCCGCGAGTGTGTTGAGGAACCATGCAAAATATCTGGAGCTCGAGGCCCTACCATCCAGTCCTCCATCGCGAGCCACTCGCTCCAGCTCTTCTCCGCAGCCTCAATCTCGGCGTCCGCTGGTGCTTGTAAAGGTCGCAGGAATGGGATCGTTTCCAAAGGTGGCATATCATAATCTTGTTTTACAGATGCCCACCCGCCGCTTTTCGCAGCGAAGAGGTAGTTGCGCCGTTCTTGTTCGTGGAGGTGGCCAACGCCGGCAACCCAATCGTCCCCAAAAAACCCATGCAGAACACCTGGGAAATCCATGCCAGTTGCTACCAGGCGTCGAATATAAGGGACAAGGGAGATAGCGGGAGATACTTGTGGCCGGTTGGGCGGTGGAGATGAGGGTCGTGAGCTTCTAGGAGCAACGTTCGAAGACGAACTGAAAAGTGGATTCGGTTGTCTCTGGAAAGGGAGATAAATATTCAGGAAAGCGGACAACGCCTGAACGGGAATACTATATTGGGCATGATCGAGGAAATATCGCTGGCAGTTCTGGTAACGCGGATACCATTCAAATATGTCAAATTGAGGATCGTCGGCTCGATGGGAGGCCTCTGACAGACCCACCATAGCGGCAGGATCAAAATGTGCGCGTGGATCACTCATGTTATTATCCCTGGGGTCTGGAGACGGTCCTGCGATTGGCCTGGAGAAATGATTTTTTTTTAGTTTCGATGCTATTTTCCTAGCGTAGATTCGCCGACTACTCAACGGAAATGGAAAAAATTTTGAACGGTAATACCTCTGGGGGGACTTATTGCGAAAAATAAACCGGTGTACTCGAAAAGGAGAAGAGGCCGAACTCCAAAGCTTCTTGATCAAGCTATAATCCCTTCTGCCTTGGCTTTCTTCGAGAGACATTTGTTGACACGGATGGTGATGCGCACCAAAAACACCGAGGAATCCAAGAAACAGAAAACGCTGGAAACCCAAAGGTTTGGAGAGTCCTGGATTCCAATTGATCTCTGGGATAAGATCGCGTGCTTATCTACATTGATCCGAACAGAGCAGGACACACCTGAAGTCTTGACCGGCAAGGTGGTAGCTGGATATTGAAGTTACGCATAAAAAGAAGCTCTGTTGCTGGACCCTTCAGCGGGGTATATAAGTTGACGGAGCGTCCCACAGCCATCTGGTACCCGCGTTCATGCAAGTCAGGCTCGATACGAAAAGGGAACAACAATTTTCGCGGAAGGCAAAGCTGAAAGTTCCGTCCGTGGCTGGTAGCCTTCGCCTAGCCGGAAGCATATCAGATCGCGAGATGAGGCGATGGGGCTTGGGGCAAAACTAAAAAGCAAACTTGGTTTCGCAGCCATTCAAGTAACTAGCCTTGATCGACCTTTGTCCCTCCCTAGTGGTTACCGCCAGCACAAATGTGGAAACATAAAAAAGATACCCTGGGTAAGCACGTTTCAGGGTCACAGATAGATCTCTTGTATGGGCGCCCATCTTGGAACAACCACTCGGTCTGTGTTTCTATACTGTACAACGTCGTTCGGGTTGAATTCAGGCCTGAAAGTGGCCAGGTACATGAGAAT